CGCTCTTCCTCTTCTCCTCCCTTCCCTTCTCGCGCTCCTCTCGGAGGCTGAGTCGAGTCGTGAGCACGAATTCACAGACGAAAGGCTAGGCGATCGCCGTGGTGAACCATGAAGGACTCGGATTTCGTGATTCGCGGTTCGTTCCTTAACGTTGGTCGCGGTAGTACCGCACGCCGTGTCGTGATCGTCTCTCTCGCACGCGTGCGACTAGAGCCGCCGCCACATCTGGCCTTTGGACTGGCTGCCAGCAGTCGGCCAGATCGGTTTTATACCTTCGTATCTCCCACCCTGGGGAGACGAGCGAGCGCGCTCACGGCACGTCGATCCTGCACGCGGCCAGCTCTCCGCGGCGCACCACGGCCGAGAGGATCGATCTTTTTTTCTTCCTCCCCGGACACGTACGTGTATACGCGTTTACCAGGAACACGCATACAGCCACGCAACAGGCCGTGGTGGCGGGTCTAGGCGCAAGGACGAACCAGGGAATAAGGAAAGGGACCGACGAGAGCTGAGCCGCGCGCGAACCCTATCCGGACCCCGGTCTGGTCCCCTGGCCCTGTCCTCTGCGCGGATAAAAGCGCGTCGAAGCCACGATCGCGGCTTATCTCCATCATTTTTCTCGCCTTCACCGTGTTGCCCGAGTTAAGGAAACAGGGAGTTCTTCGATTGAATTTACTCCTCGGTTGAGCTTGCTTCGCGAGTCTCGTTTAAACGTACAAGCGTCGGTGAATTACTTCCCGTTGCTTGTTCTCGACGGAGAAGGTGATGTTTACGAGATTCCTCACGCGTTCAGATAACGGACGTTTCAGGCGAACAAAACTCGATACGCTTTCTGCCTCTCGCTGAGTTTAATACGCTCACGGTCGATGATTCCTCTTATCCGTCAGAGTTATCTGGAATTTCGACTCGAGCGTGGTTTTCCCGCGATTTTTCTCTCTATCTTTGGATCACCTAGCGCGTAGAGTTCGAACGATGCTAATCTAGCCTCGCTACGTGGGTATCGGAATGACACCGTGGCGCAGATCCTCCTGCTCGCAAACCTGTTCCATGTTTTCGTGCAGGTATGCGTAGGTACGTCAGTAGGAGGGTCTCGATCCTTTTCTGTCCTTTTAATCTTGCTCGCGAATGTTTTATTGATGAACGAGCCGCAGGGTGGTAGCTGAACGCGTCAGGCTTCTTCGAGAACCCTGCTCCTTTCTTGTTTACCCTCGAACCGCAGGAGACCCTGAAGGATGTTCAAAACGCGCGCTTCCAGGCGAGGCTTTCCGATGAAATATTAACAAAGAGAACCCGTTCGGTGTAATCCCTTGGGTTCTGCCAACTTTGTACATCGGAATTTCCATTTGTTGCAGCGACTTCGTGCACGATGGACATATATCGTCGCGAACGCGTTAAGTGTTCGCGAGGTTGCAAATTATGGGGGGAAGTGTAGGTTCCCCTTAGACGAGCTTTGAATTCTTTGCTACGTTTAATCTGTAGTAATCTGCTGGAATACTTTGGAGGATTCGCAGGTTTTCGTAGCGAATAACGCGTCTACGTTGGAGCATTACTGTCAAATTAAATCGTGCCTTTCGTGGCAAAACTAAAAAGAGTGGAAAGAAAGAGAACGTCGAGCCCGAAGCAGCATAGCATCGCGAAGACTTAAAGTTCAGTAACTCTGCCGACAATATCATCTAGAACCGTTATTCAATCTAAACGTCATCCACGGTAGATCTACGCGGATTCTTTCCCATGGACTGAACCGGCAGTTACTTTTCTTAAATCCTGCTCGAGTTCCATCGAGATTCCTAATTGGTCTCGAACGCACCCTCTCTAACCATGTTAGCAAAAACGGAGCGCATTTATTGCCGTCGGTCGCCGAGCATAATCCACGTTTCATAATACACGTACACGCTGTTCGCGTGGGAGGCAGATTCCCAGGCAGGTAATCCCGGCAGGTAAACGTATCGCGATAACGTCCCATTAGAACAGGAATCACGACTTAGAATCCGGGTCACACTGGAAGAGAAGTAGCTGCTGATCGCGTGCCAGTGCTCGGTGCACGGGGCCCGTACTCCACGTCTCAATACGACGTCTGCGTCGTCGAGACGCTTCATCCAGCGTCTACCTTCTCGGAAGGTGTAGGAATCATCGTGCTGGAATGCCGCGGACTGTTCGACAGCCGACTATGCACCTGTTAGAAAAACCGTCGAATCGAAACGCGGCGTGGTGCCCATCGAAACGCTTCGTCATCCTGACTGCCCAACTCTCAAGATCGGGACCAGAACCTGAAGATCGCCTCGAATTGGTCAGCTAGCTTCGCGTAACATCGCGTAAACCGACGATCGCGTACTTGGTGTGAGAGATTCATCTTTAACCACCGTTCGATCCGAGCGAGACCTCGAATCGGTTGAATAGCTTCTTGGAAACGTTTTGACGCGTCTCGAGCATCTACGAACCGGAGGCTTAGTCACTTGCAATTCGCGACGAGGACATCGCGGCGCGTTTAACCGTGGCGCGGGAATTAGATCGTTGCTCGGGTCTCCTCGCGATTACATATTCCGCTCAGGATCTGGCCAGGAGTTTGGTTCGCTCTATTTCTGGCAAGGACTGACGTAGCTCTTCCGTCCAGCCGCTTCCTTTTCAGCCACTTTACGATCTAACGAGGCCGCGATTCAGCGAAACGACGGCGAGCAGAGATGGACTACTACTCGCACATCTACTCGTCCAAGGCGAGTAGCGTTACGTGTCGCGCGAGTATCGCGACCGATCCGACCGATCACGGACGTGTCCCGTTGGCAAAAATTTCGTCTGGATGCAAAGCCATGGGCGCGTGCCTTCTGACTCGCATTGCGTCGATTCCCTTCCATCTCGATTCCGCGGCTGACCTTCCATCCGCGACGCAAGAGCACGCCAGACCGGCGAATTGTGCGCGGATTTTTCATAATAAAGAGAAAGGCATCGACGAGGCGAGGTATATATTATTGAGTAATCGCAAGGCTGCGTGCACGCTCGCGGATCGCGGGCACAAAGATAATTGGTTAATCGGTAAACGAGCCGTTACTTAATCGGACGCGGCCCGAGGAAAGGCGTCGCTGATTCTCCTGTTATAGGGATTCTTCGATTCCTTTCCGCGCTTTGTCAGCAAGGAGAAATTGTGGAAAATTTTCCTGCTTTGTTCGACTCGCGTGCACGCAGTCAGCCCTGATACCATACACAAACGCGTGCGTGTGTACCAGGAAAGGTAGGTTGTTTTCGCGATCTTCGCTTCCCGTGTGATCTTTCCGATAAATATTCCATGGCGTGAAGCAAACCTGGAAAAACTTCACTGCAAAATATAATATCGTAAACGCGAGTCATCGTCGAATGTGTCTCAGCCGATTCCCACCGATTCCGCTCCATCTTTCTTCCCCTGAGCGCGCCGTAAATCCATATTGTGTCAAGCGAGGTGTAATTCCCGCTTGTCAACAGCGCGAGAACGCGAGCACGCGAAAGGTAATTAAACTTATCAGTCTCGTTTCGCAATTTATGATTAATCGCCGCGATCGAACGTAGAGATCTCGTTATCGCGCTGCGTCTAGTGGAACCGGTGCATCGTCCTTTACGATCTTCCATTAAACACGCTAGAGGTATAGAACATGTACATACGTATAGGTCTCTAAATCGATCTTCTTATACCGTAATTATTTCGATGGTTTTATCGACCCACGGTGTGATCGGAGTGTCATTAAACACCTCGCGTTACGGTGATGAGCGACGATCCTCCGGCACCGTGACGAAGATTGATGACCGGTCAGGTGTCAAAGAGTCACCGGTCTCAGCAAAGAGACTCAATACGATCTTTCAATTAGCATTTGAAACGGGAGCCGTACGTAATTCCTCGGAAACCCCTTAAAACCGTATCGAGCGACGCAGCGAGTCATCGATGACTAAGCCGCCATAATGATCGCATGCAAGCGGATCGTTTCCGTTGTTCCTCGAGCAAAGTGTGGATCGATAAAGCGTCCAAGGGTGACGGTGCGTTGTCAAACGTGTCGGAAGCTAATTCGTCTCTCGGTGACTCTCTTACCTGCTCGCGATTTTGTCTTCCATTCTATTCGGCTCCTTTTGGCAAAGCAAGGCCAAAGCTTTCGACAGCTTCCTGATCCACGTTGGCGCGTGTGCGTGCGGAATTCGAACGTTCGCCGACTCCGTGTATCGATCATTTCCGATCGCGAGCAAGGTCGAAAGGGATTGGCTGCCGCCGATCTTCCTCTCCGTGTCTCTTCGCCGTTTTCCATCCCTGTCTCACCATCGTCGTCCCTGTCTCCGACTTCCTACCAGGCGGTCCTTTCAGAAATTGATTGCACGCGTTTTATAGCCGTGCATGGACAACCGAGTGGTCTGTGACGTTCTCTCGAACGTCACTTCGGCGAGTAAAACGACCACGGTGTTTCGGCGTTAGCCCTTGAGTCGATTTACGCACGATACGATCCAGGAAGCAGATTAGAGGTGGCATCGTAAACAGTCGGACCTCTGCTGGTCATGCGAAGGGTCCGTGGAGAATGTTCGTGATCTCTGGCGTGATAGCGTGATCGAAGGTCTTAGAAGAACCTTCGGATCGACTACCGTTACCAGTGAAATCCGTTATTATCGAAGTCCGTTATATACCCACGTCTCAAGGAAAAATTGGCAAGCAGTTAACGAAGGGACGAGATATTCCACGTTCGTCGAGATAAATCCTCGGTTGACACGAAGCAACGTCTCGGAGAGTTATTTAAATAGAGAAGAAAGGAAGTCGGTAATTGGCTGAGCATCTTTTAAGGAATGCTGTAAATGCTCGTCTAAAACGGTGTATTACAGAATTAGAAGCATTAG